CACACACACACACACACACACACACACACAAGTGCAAACGAACCCAATTCTTTCCGCTTTGCTGTTGCCGTTGTGTTACCGCTTTGATCACTGCAACAACAACAACAGCAGCAGCAGCAGCAGCAGCTTAATTGTGGTTGCATGCTCACAGGGAGGCACACGACGTCTGTTCTTCTTAATCTTCTTCAGCAGAGGACATCAAGAAAGCGGAAAAGGAACGAAGCCAACACATTTTCTCCCCCGCCTACTCGAGCCGGGCACACCGGAGCTTTGCGTTTTTATTTGTAGCTGCTGCTGTTGTTGTTGCTGCACTTGCGTGTGTGCACGATGGACGATTGCGGCTCTTCACACGAACAGGGGCGCCTGTACAGTGTGCAGTAGCGGCTCTGTGCCTTTGTCGAGAGATTCCCTCCTCCGTGGTGCTGCTCACCACTGCCCTTGGGGAGATGCTCGGCATCGTTGCCCGTCAGCGGCGCAGTATTGACGGGTTGATGACCGCGATGCGGGCGATGAATGAGGAACGCGTGCCGGAGCTTTCAGCGGTGCCGCACAACTTCGCGGAGATTCTCCACGATCCAATTAATCGCACGGCGTCTGCCGTTGGTGAGGTGCGGGCTCAACTCCCCAAACACCAGCAGACGCCAGGCTCGTGCTCGTTCTCTGGCGCCAGTCACGCGGAGATCCGACGGGTGGTTGCGGGGCTGCGGAGAGTAGTGCTGGAGCGGCTGCGGCAGCCCTCCCCGCGCGTGGGCACCGGCGAGCAGCTCACTGAACTCGGCAGCGAACTCGCGGCCGTGCGGACGGAGCTGCGAGATGCCGCGGCGCATCATCAGGTGGTGCTGGACCTGCTTGACGTGCGGGAGACAATCCGCCGCTGCGGCTGGACGGGCGATCCGCTCTTGGATGTGCACCGACTGCGCTCTCCCGACACGATGGCGAAGGTGAGGCTTGCGCACCAGCTGCCGTGCTTTGACGTGTTGGTGTCAGCTGTGTGTCGTTCGCCTGAGCGGCGCATGCGGGGTGCGGTGTCCCTCAGTCTGCTAGAGTGACTTGAGACGGTGGATGGCTGTGGTGGCGTGCTATGTTGATTTCTGTTCTGCTGTTTTGTTTTTCCCCTCCCCGCTGGGTGCAGTATCTCGCTCTTTCCCTCTCTCATTTTCTTTTTGTGCGCGTGTTTGTGCGTGTCTTCAGAAAATAAAGAAAGCGGAAGGAAGGGAAGAGAGAGCGCCGGCGTTAGCCGTCACTCTGGACCCGTCTTTCTCCCTCCTCACACTGTAGCTCCGGCGGTGCGCCACTGTGTTGTCGTGTGTGCCTGCGTGCGTGAAGAGTCTGCGGTTCGCTGGCGATCGTCCCGGCAGCAGGAGTGAGTGAGCGAAGGAAAGCAACGAAGAGAGCAACGCCTCGTGCCTGATTCCGTGTGTGTGTGTGTGTGTGTGTGTGTGATTGAGAGCAAGAGAGAGCGAAAGGGGAAGAGGGAGTGTGGGTGTGTCTGTGTGACTGTTTGGGCCGGCGACTGCGCGGCGACGGCGATGAACGTGCACTGGAAGTCGCGCGGCGGTGTGCCGGCGTCGGTCGGCATCATCAACGCCGTTGAGTTCGACCCCGACGTGGAGCTGCTGTGGGTCAGCGACAGCTTCGGCCGCCTGATGAGCTTCACCACGCAGAGCCAGACCAGCACGCTCACGTGGGCGGTGTACTCGTCATTCTCCGCGTCGTCGCGGCCCATCGGCGGCATCTTCTTCCTCTCGGCCGGCGGCGAGAAGATCGCGACGGTGGCGGACCACAACATCATCCGCGGCTACAAGCGCGGCGGGGCGCCGTACCTCGCGTGCCCGCTGCCGCCGCAGTCGCAGGACTACATCGACCTCTTCCAGGCGCACGGCGACACCGGTGTGGTGAGCTTCACCGGTAACGTCGGCCTGACACGCTTGTCGATCGACGGCGGGGGCGTCGGAAACGGCATCACGGTGCCGGTCGGCGAGTCGAAGGTGGTCGCGCTGCACCAGACGGAGAGGTGGATCGTCACCGGCAGCACGTCGGGCGCCATCGTCGTGCGTGACATCAATGACCTGCAGGTGGTCGACATGGTGCAGCCGTCGCGCCACCGCGTCCTTGCGATGGACGCGTACGACAACACCGTCGTGGCCGCTGTGGCGGAGCGTTCGATGGCCAGCAGTGTGCGACTTTACGACGTGCGCAAGATAGGGGAGCCGGTTATTGTCATTGGCGGAATTCCCACTGACAGCATCTCGCAGGTGCGCCGCTACCGGGACTCCTTTGGCGTCTCGGCAGACCGTGCGTTTGTGGCGACGCCACACGGCTACCACATCGTGCAGATGGATCAGACGGCCCCAGTCTTCAGCTCCAACGCCATGACGGAGGGCGCCTGCACTGCCGTCGCCGTCTCACCGAACGGTATGTGCGCTGCCATCGGGACTGACAAGGGCTACTTCTTCGCCCTTGCCCACCCGGCGACGCGTGAGGATTACGTCATGTCACACTACGTGGCGCCACAGCGGCCGGTGAATCCTGTCTTCACACAAAGTTGGGCGGAGAAGAAGGAGGGCGACACGTTCGCCGACTTTGACGAGACCATGCCACCAGAGGAGTTGGCGTCCAACTGGCCGCCAGACGATTACATGATCCTCTCTGTCTCTCCACCTACACGGTGCCTCAATGTGGAGTCACGCACAATCCTGCACAACCGTTGGGGCTTCCTGCGCTCCGATTCGTACCTGCCAGACCCGAAGGACAAACTCTCATTGTACCTGCCGAACCCTTTCCCGTACAACCTCAAGCTTGGCAATGACCCCGCGGCGGTGCAGCGACGTTTGCTAGAGATGAAGAAAGATCAGAAACGGCAGCATTTTGCCTTCCGCGCCGGTGCGACGGGGGAGTGTGCACCGCTTGAACCAGCTAATCAAGTTTGTTACAGTTCATACCATCGGTTTGATTGGAAGAGCTACAATGAGATACCGCGCGAGGTTGTTGGGCTCGATAACAGCTTCCCGGAGTGCTGGATCACTACATTGCTGCAATCGCTCTACCTTTGTCATCCACCAGAGTTCCCTGTTCGCAAGGTCATTCTCCGCCATCTGTGCACGAGACAGTACTGCATCGCATGTGAGACATCTTTTGTATTTGCAAATATGATGATGACGTCTGTGGCGGGGCTCAATCCTATTGTGCAGGTCGCCAACTTGATTCGCACCATGCACAAGGTGCATTCCACTGCCCCGCTGTTCGAACCCATCAAATCCCGCGACGACGCAGTGAAGCGAATTCACACTGCGCAGCTGACATTCCTTGAGGCCCTCCACCGCGGGCTACAGGACGAGAAAGCGTACCCGTTCATGGACTACAAGCCACCATGCGCCGACTTTGAGAACTCCATTGCTTACCTATTCGGCACCGAGTTCACGTCAGGCGGAAAGGTGCATGTAGAGCCGCAGTTCTATTGGGATGTTCCTTCTTCTGCACTCAAGGTAAATGAGGGACTGCAGCACCTCCTCAAGCAGCTCGAGGCATACAAGGACCATGTGCAGATAAAACGATTGCCGCCCATCATTGTACTGCGACTGAACCCAGAGGGTGGTACACTTAAACCGCCGCGCTGCCTGCGCATCTCACGTGATTCAAAGGATGACTCCAACTATGTTCTGTGCAGTAACATCATTCACCTCTCCGATGATGCAGACGACCCGGGAAGTTTTGTAAGCCACCATCGCATTGTCGAGGATCGCTTCAGTCTTGTAAACGACTACCGTGTGACGGCACCAATGGAAGAACAGGAGCTAGAGGCGTTAATGCCCGCCCTGCGTTCACACCGGGCAGTGGTGACCTACTACGCACTTGACAAGTTGGCGGCGCCGCCCTACAGTTCACTTGACGGCAACCGTCCGCCTAACATGTTTGATGTGCTGGGACCTCTCCTGATCAATGATGTTTTTGCGAAGCCACTGCAACGCAAACCCTTCACAAAGCTGTTTAAGTCTCCACTGGATTCGCACTTCGACATAAAACCGAAGGATCTGGTCGCACTGGATGCTGAGTACGTGATGCTGGACTGGGGCAACAAGTCCTCCAATACGGAGGTGTTCGGGCAGCCACCGCGGAAGCCGCACATGGCACTGGCGCGGCTGAGTTGTGTACTGAGCAGCACTCCCGGGGATGAACGCACCATCGTGGACGACTACGTACACACACCCGAGAACATTGAGGACTACGTGACTCAGTACAGTGGCATCCACCCCGGCGACTTGGACCCGCTCAAGTCCACCAAGTCCCTGACAGGTCTCAAGGCAACGTACTTGAAACTGCGGGCGCTGGTCGACCGGTCGGTGGTGTTCGTCGGCCACGGCCTGCACCAAGACTTCCGCGTGTGCAATATTGCCGTCCCTGCTGAGCAGATGATTGACACCCTCATGCTGTTTCACAAGCCAGGCGGCAGGTACCTCTCGCTACGCTTCCTCGCTTATCATGTGCTTGGTGAACGGGTACAAGAGGACGAACACGACTCCGTAGAGGATGCACGCACCTCTTTGCGCCTCTACCGTAAGTATCAGCAGCTGCTTATTGAGGGGACGTTTGATAGTGTCCTCGATCAGCTTCTGGCGACTGGTGCAGAGACGAGTTGGTATGTTCCAGAGGGCCGAGATGCGTTCAGCACACCACCAGTCGCTTCTGCATGCACGACAGGCTCGCCGCTCTTCCCCGAGGGTTGCTCCCCAACCACAGCAACCGCAACAACGGAGAATGGCGAGGGAGATGGACTCAGGTCCACCTTGTGAGTGCACGATGCCTTCAGAACTGCAGATCCCTGACAAGATTGTTGTGTATGAGTCTTTGATTGTTTTTGATGCGGGAGAAGAAGACGTAGAGGCAAAAGGGCGTAGTCCACTACTCATCTCTCTTTCTTCTTTCTTTTTGTTTGTTTCTCTTCCTCTCTCTATGTGTGTTTATGAGCGCTGTGACTCCACCTCGTCTTGATCATCTCCTTCACTCCTCCGCGCTGCCTCTTCCCCCCGTTTCTTCTGTCCGCGCCCCCCCC